AGTCGAATAGAGGAAATAGGAGTTCTAGATTTGTAACATAGGGGGGGGGGGGGAGAAAAAACAGTCTTTATCATAGGAGGGTAGATTTTTAAAAAACAGAAATTTCTATCTCATAGTAATTGTTTTATGTTCTCATCTACTGAACAGAATTTTAGACCACAGTTCTGTGCCCATCTACATGGTATCAAACCTCAGCAGAGACTCAGTAAACTGACTTCTGAATAGACAAATATCAAATTGTATTTAAGGGTATTCATTAATAAATACTTGTAGTGAAAAATAAAAGTACAGCTCATCCACTGACCCAGAGAAGATGTGATTTTTCATCTTAAGTCCAAAGTTAAATTGTGAAAAAGTGTTTGAAACTTGCCTAAAATCAAATTGGTTGAAATAAAAAGGTTCAGATCAGAGAAAACAAATCAACTTTCACAGTATAGAATCCTACCCATTATTCTTTAAACAAGTAAGGCTTCATGTTCAGCATTCATACGCTGCATAGAATAAATGCCAGGTGACAAAAAGTAAAATGAGATCTACTTCTCACCCTTTCTCCTTCCAAGTTCGTTTGTTATTGTATTACTCAAAGTAATTACGATTTCAAGATATATTTCCAGCAGGAAGGGTTAACAAACAGTGATAGTGAATTTATTCTTTGCCTGGGATGTGGTGGTGGTGTCCTGCATACTTCCTGATGTGTTCATGTGCTTATTTGGTACAATTTTTTCCCTGCTCACCGGAGCTGCTGTTTTAACACTTTACCCCTTGCTCTTCAGTCTTCTTCAGGCTCTTCATCCCGCGATCACACACAGTTTAATTCAGGGCCCCTGGAATTCAGCAGCACTTCCTGGCCAGTTTCTGCAGCAAGGGTAAGAGAATTCTGCAGCAAATGTCATTCTGCATTATGGCAGTGAGAGTCTGGAACCATCTGCCGCTCATGCATCCACCTAACCCAGCGTTGGCTGCAGAATTCCAGGAGCCCTGAGCTTTTCCATGGCCATAGAATTGCTCATTGGCTGTGGAATTTCTTAATTTGGGGGGAACAATCAATAAGCTATATATGATTTTGCAGGTGGCTAACTTGTGTGTCAGTGGAACTGGGTGGACACTCTGTGCCAGCAGTTTCGTTTGTGAGATGAATATATCAGTCATGTTTAATCCAAACTTTGGAATCATGGCATATCTCCACTTCTCTATTTATATCCTTTTCTACATTGTCCTGAGAGGATATAAATAGAGGGACGCCATTTTGAATCCCCAAGGGCCTGTAAATATATTGATATAAATCATTTTGCTTGTTATCATACATTTTGGGGGGGTAGCTTAGGGAAAATGCCTGCCAAAGCATTGGAGATTTACAGATTGGACAACATAGGCAGCAAAAACAATGTACCTGTAACCAGGCTTTTCACATTACTCTTATATGTCATTGGACACGATTGAAGCTGGAAGCAAAGACCCAGAAATAAGAAAAAGCTGTTTGACATTCAATTTTCTAAGTGGCAAACACCTGCTTGTACCTACATACATAAACATACACAGAATGCAGCAAGGGATGGATTGTTGCACTGCACAAGAAATGGTAGTCTTTTTGAGGTGCAGTTGCATCTTTATTATTGTAAGAACTTCCCTTCTTGGCCAGATCAAGGGCCATTGAGTCCAGCAGCCTGTTCTCAAGAGCAGCTGGACAGATGCTTACAAGAAGCCCTCAAGCAGTAAAAGTAGCCTCTGCTGCTACTACCCAGCATTTGGGAGTTATCTGTGTTTATCATTCATATTGGTGTTGTGGTTAAGGCATCAGATTAGAAACTGGGAGACTGTGAGTTCTAGTCCTACCTTAGGCACAAAACTAGCAGGGTGACCTTGGGCCAATCACTCTCTCTGAGTCCTAGGAAGCAGGCAAGGGCAAACCACTTCTGAGAAATCTTGCCAAGAAAGCTGCAGGGACTTGTCTAGGCACTTGCCAGAAGTCAACACTAACCTCCAAAAAAGAATAAATACAGGCAAAAAAGAAATACAGTTGTGGGTCATCCAAAGCAACACTAGAGCTTACTTATTAACAATCAATGGTGGTTACTGGTGCATTTTAATCTCTTCTTTTTTATGGAATTCCTTCTCTTCCTGTCCTACCTTCATATATGTGATTGTTAATTTCCATAGCTTTCTGCCTCATCAAACAGGATAGAAAGCTGTAACATTAAATCTGAAACCAGAATAAATGGCCCTTCTGACATCAACAACACATTTATGGTGGTTGTTACTGGTTTTACTTTCATCTTCATAATCCAAACTGTCCATAAACAGAACAGTAGCAAAGTAAGAATTTTATGAGAGTTTTAATACTTCTCTTTTGGGAAAATGTTTCTTGTACTCTCTCACTGATAGCTGATACCCTCATGTGGAAGTAATGTTCTTGACATCTAAAAGGCTGGTTTTAGACTTTTCTTGGGCTACCTAGTGGTAGGACTAGAATTTTAGTTAGGAAATCAGTACTGGAAAGAAGTGAGATACAGCCTTGGTATGGTCCACTAGCTGCTTTTAACTATTCCTGCCATATGAAACCTTCAAATTTTTTTTATGAGTCCCAAACTACAAACCAAACTTCGCCTTTTAAACTGACCCGCCACTGGTTTTCCATTGCAAAACTTGGCTTGAATGGTATAATTTGCAGGATTCAGGTTTTGGGGAGACGGCTTCTTCTCTCCTTAATTCATTCCCTGCTCCTACTCCTCCCCTCCAGCATCCTGGATTGGTTGTTTCCCCATCCATACCACTAGGTAGAATCTCCAATGGTGTGAAAACTTGGAAAGCAAGGGACAAGGCAAAACCACTTGTAAGATGACATGGGGGGGCGGGGGGTTGAGAACTACTTTCCTCTATCCCTGATTGGCACAGAAGCAGCAGCAGCTGAACTTTAATGAAGTGTCTGATCTGTCATTGATCAAAATAAAGATATTTTATTTGAATGAAATGCAATCTGCTGGACACTTAGGGAGCACATCAAAAAACCCTGTGGGATAGTTACCATCTTCATGTGCCAGGATGTATGACACAAGCCTCTAAAAGACAACACACACACATTTGCACATTTTTTTAATATGGCACCTAAAAATACTACCACCTACTTTCCCCAAGATTACACATTTTCAGTGTTAGAAAGAAAGCCCAATTTTTAGGCCATGACTTGCCTGATGATTCTAAGCACAAGTGCCTTTCCAAATCAAGACCACTGGTTTGCAGTAAGAATGCTCAGTGTATATTTTGATTGTATTTCCATTGTACAGCTGAAATGTAGTTTTGTGTCACAATATAAGCATGGAGCTTGTCAGCAACAACCACCAACTTTGTGTTTTAATTGCGGGGTTTGGGAGTTTTGCAGCAACTTGGCCTCCTGATGCAAGCAAAATCAGTACTGCATGGGCAGAAGTGTGGGGAAAACACAATCTGGTTTGATTTTGTCTGCTTTCATCAGGGAAGTGGGTTTTTTGTGCCTAGTTAATGACAAACATATTTAAATGTTGTTTGAACTTAAAAATGGAACAGTCTTTGTTTTGTCCAAAACTGCAGTTGCATCTCTGGCAGTTAAACAAAGGCTATAGTCCTAAACATATTTTCTACAGAGTAAGTTAGACTCAGTGGGAGCTTCTTCTTAGCAAAATATACTTTAGACTGGGCTGCCCAAACCTGCAAGTGCTGAGTGTCTTTTAAGCTGCTGGTGGTTATAGATTTTATACTCAACAGAATTGAGGTTAACAGAGTTAAGACATTAGTATGTTGGCATGATACATATTAAATCACAAACAGGCCCTAGCTATAGGGCATATGTCGTTTTATTTGTGAGCTGATTTGAAATAGTTTTTGATTCTGGAGTTGAATATTTAAATTTTGAATTGTACTATTTTATTTTGTTATGCTGTACCATAAACTAAAATTTCTCCGCATCCCATTACCTCCCCGATTCTGCCTCTGGATTTTTAAAAATATATTTTCAATAGATAAGTATTTTGTTTCATTTGGGGAGAAGTTGTACACAAGATGCAGGTCAGCAGTGCCTGAGCGTGACTGCAAATGCAATCCTTCATCTATGCACAATCATCTTCTGCATTCAATACCAGCTACTTTTCTCCACCTCTGCTGGAAAGAAACTATTCAAGTACAACGTACCTCTGGTGCATTTACAGACATGTACAGACAAAAGTTGTGTACACAGAAGTCATGCTTCTTCCTCAAACCAGATCAGGGCGTTATGGCAGCAACATGGTTTTCACAGATCACTTTGGAAACAGCATTACTTTTAATATACAGGACTTTTGTACAACCATGAATCATGTCGAACTTCTGATCCAATGAATATGGCCTACAATAAGCAGGTTCAATGTGGCAGTTCATGTGTTAGATTTTAGCAGATCTGAAAACAGAAGGAAGTCTCTTCTTAATCTGAAAAAGCTCATGAAAGGGACAAGTTCATATTGATCTCACTGAAATGTCAGCAATGATCTTAATATACAATGACTTTAATAGCAGCTATGAGCTGCCAATAAAGAGAATACTGTATATCGACAGACTTGGAATAGTGCAAAGCCATGGAATATCTGTTGCTCCTTGATACAGTTCTCAATTGTAATTATAGTAGAACAACCATGTTCCTGACCATTCATTGCAAATGAAGCAGTGAGGTAGAAAGGCTTAGACAGGAACGGTCCAGACTTCACAGTAAAGATGGAGAGCTCTTTAGCACATACTTTTCCTCTGTGTGGCAGAGATCTCTCTGTATTATGCATATGGGTATACTCCTCATTAACCACAATCATCTCTTTTACTGCAATTGGAGCTGCTGCTCTCAAACGTCATCCTCCTTCCTTTAAAATCTAGAAGTTCCAGGGATTTGGGTTTGTCTCAGTTAGCTGAAGCACTGCTTCGCAATGGTAGTCTAGACCCACACTGTTTATCACATAGCTCAGCTTTTGGTGGGATAGAAAACTGAATAAAATATTACAGTCAGGGCGGTAAGGATAGCTACTTCTTTCATATTTTAAAAGTAAGAAGTGCTTTCGTTATGCATCTTTGGGATATAGTCAGTAAGAGCCTATGTGCTGTGTTTGGATGTCTGTTGAATGGAGCCATCTCACTTTAGCAAATAAGAAATTTGAACTACTAAAATCTTTGGTGATAAAACTACAGCAGGCAAACTGGGAGGATGGGAGGTGAAAGCCATGTTGCACTAGTTCCCATTTCTTATTCACTTGGCCCTTTCTAAACAAAACTAGCTTGTTTTGTTCAATTTATGATTTATTTTCTCTTCCCCTTTTTTTAATCTTAGGGAAAAAAGAAAAGACGAACAAGAGAAAAACAGCAAGATTCCAATTCAGGTAAGCCTGCTGGTGCAAAATCTAGCACATTATCTGGTTACCGATCACCTCATTTACATTGATAAGAAATTAGTTGCAGTAGCCAAACAAGATTTATTCCAGGATTTATAGCCATGACTTCATGTGACTGGGGTGTCTATGCTTATCTCCTCCTTTTTCTATAGTTAGGTTACTATCTGCACTAATCTTTCTAGCTTTGCCACTGTCTAAAATTATATATTCTGTCTGCTATTCTGTGATGACAACAACAATCAACACAGCAATTAAAAGTAACTAATTCACATTAGCTGCATTTTGACACATCCTCTTGCCTTAACAATCTCTTTACATTTGTGGCTGTTTTAGGTTTTTTAAAATAAAAATATGAGGAAAGCAAAAGATAAAACATTTATGGAGCATCTGACTTCAATCCAACAGTCCTTTTTTGCAGCAAGTACCCAAACATACAAGCAAAGAATCTTTTTGAGGCCAAAGGGCTCCACATTAAAAAAAAAAAAAAAATGGGGGGGGAGGGATTACATTACCAGGAAAC